CTATTTTTATATTCCCAAAAAAATAAAAGGCAAAAAATAATATCATCAAAAAATTAAAAGGAAAAACAATTATATAAAGGAAGAAAATAATTTCATGAAAAAAAATAAAGAGGAAGAAAATAATGTCATAAAATAAGGAAAAAAAATAATATAAAGGAAGAAAATAATATCATTAAAAAAAATAAAGAGGAAGAAAATAATGTCATAAAAAAAGGAAAAAAAGCGTTTTATTTTTATCTTCCAAAAAAAATAAAAGGAAAAAATTAAAATAAAAGATAATACAACAAGCATTTCCTGTCAAAAAAACAATTTTTCTAAAAAGAATAAAAGGAAGAAAATAATGTCATCAAAAAAATAAAATAAAAGATAATACAATAATTCGAGATTTTAGTGGCCTTTGTTTCATCGATTTAATTAGTGGTTTAAAAAACAGATTGGTGACCCTGATCGGGCACCTCTAAAACCCATCCGGATCGGTGAATCGGCGATCCATATCGGGAATCAGCCGAATCGGTTGGATTAAGCCTTTAAAAAATTTGAAAAAATTATTAAAATTCATTATAAATGTTATTTTTAAGGTATCCAATAAGAAATAGGGGTACTACATTGTCATGTCATTTATTTTCATCAATTTGCGAATATTGAGATGTTCTTTCCCTGTTTGAACTTATGTTAACCATTAAATTTACATTACATAAAAGAAAAATTATAGGATCATCATTGATAAAATATATAATCATACATGGACTACAATAAAGAATGGATTCAATCGATGAAAAAGTGGCCACTAAAATCTCGAATTCTTGTATTAACTTTTATTTTATTTTTTCTTTTTATTTTTTTGATGATATTATTTTCTTCCTTTTTGTTTTTTTTTAGAAAGGTAAATTGTTTCTTGACAAGAAATGCTTGTTGTATTACCTTTTATTTCAATTTTTTCTTTTTATTTTTTTGATGATATTATTATTTTCCTTTTATTTTTTTTGGAAGATAAAAATAAAATGCTTGTTTTTTTCTTTTTTTTATGACATTATTTTCTTCCTCTTTATTTTTTTTCATGACATTATTTTCTTCATTTGTATTATTTTTTTTCTTTTTATTTTTTTGATGATATTATTTTTTGCCTTATATTTTTCGGAGAAGATAAAAATAGAACGCTTTTTTTCCTTTTTTTTTATGACATTATTTTCTTCATTGATATTATTTTTTATGATATTATTTAAGACAAAATAAAACACAAAAAGTAAAACACATTTTTCTTGTGACATTATTTGACAAAAGAAAAACTATTTTTTATGATATTTGACAAAAAGAAAAAAGTTAACACCATGGAGGTTCAAACCTAAGACCTCTTGTATAGAAATCCAACGTGATAACCAACTCCCCGTTGCACCACATTTGGCATAATACGCTATAATAAATCAATATATTGATTTAACATCTCGATGTTGGCCATTAAGAATTGTCCCACATCGAAGAGAGGTGGGACAAACCTTGGGTATATAAACAATTGAACCATCAGCTTTTCTAAACGATATGCTGGGGTGGGAACCACGTGCGGTGCACATAAGATTTTTACACACGCGTGATGAACGCGAGATGTATTCACACGTGCGACACACGCGTCGAGCATGGTGACGTCAGCCACAACATATCTTGTGATGTCATACTGGCGAGAACTGCCTGTTTATGATGTCATGAGGACTGTTCACTGCTCAGAACCGGCGATTCTATTCTAGAACCGGGCGATTCTCGGTTTTACACAAAAATCGGCACGGGGTCACCGATTCTCGTGCCGACTCGGGCGAGTCCGTTGCGACGTGCCGATTTTTAAACCACTGGATTTAATCCATTTTTTATTGTAGTCCATGTATGATTATATATTTTATCCATGATGATTATATGATTTTTCTTTTATGTAATGCAAATTTAATGGTTAACATAAGTTCAAATAGGGAAAGAACATCTCAATATTCGCAAATTAATGAAAAAAAATGAAATAATACTGTAGTACCCCTATTTCTTATTGTATTCCTAAAAAACAATATTTATAATGAATTTTAATAATTTTTTTGGAGTTTTTTTAAAGCTTGATTGGACCGATTCGGCCAATTTCCGATTCGGATCGCCAATTCACCGATCCGGATGGGTTTTTGGGGAGACCGATCCAGGGCACCGATCTGTTTTTTAAACCATTGGTTGCAACCTTAAACAATCCAATTAAGGCGCACCTCCAAATTTTATCATAACATGTAATTTTGGTGTAAAATATTCTTAAGATTATCTCAAAATCTATTTTCATATCTAATTATAAAATTTGAAACTCTAAAAAAGCTTAAAATCAAGTAGATCTATAAAAATATGAAAATCTTGAAAATGAACAGTCTAGATAATATGTTGTCAGATGCACTATTTCTGGTACTCAAAATCTTTTTTTTTTCTTCATATCCTGACATCTCGATGTCGAGACGGTCAATTGGAGGGTTTTTCAACATTAAAGCAACCTTTTCTAGTGGATTTTTGAGGTGCATCTTTAATTCTACATTTTAACGTTGCAACCTTATATAAACTTTTTCCTTACATAAATCACAATCACAAAAATATGCAATAAAGCCACTAATGTCACATTAAATTTTTAAAAGTGATCAAACAAATAAAGTAGAAAAATAAATATATCGCCTATGGTTAATATTCTGACCATCCAATGAAGAACAAAACCTAGCATGCTCGAGAAAAATCCTAAAAAAAATGTAAAAAACTTATACCCAGCTATCATAAACATCAAAAAACTCTAAACCAAGAAATGAAGTGCATCAACCTCTCAAAACCCAATCAAACTTGGCTTGAATAGGTGAGTTTTGGTTGCCAAATGACTTCTTTTACAGGCACTGCAAGTCTGAAAAAGTATTGGATTGAGCACTTTTCAATGAGTTTGGAAATTTTTCCACTTCAAAAAAAAAAGAAAAAGTTTGAAATTTTTTCGATCTACCCAAAAAAATCACAAAATCTTGTATTTGGGCTTGTTTTCCAAGCTCTAAATGTGCAGAAATGGGTTTTGGGGGGCTAAAATGCCACGAAAAGTATTAACCTTGCCTCCTCCTTTTGGGGTGGAAATGACCATTTTTGGCCTTGGCCAAGGGCCCTTGGCCAAGGGAAACCATCGAGCCCACCTAGGCGGCCCAAGGGCACCTAGGCAGATGCCCTAGAGCAAAACCACATAGGGCGTAGCCTAGTTCCTATACAGTGAGGTAAGGGCCTTGGGCCGCTTAGGTGCCCAAGTGGCCAAAATTTTCATCGCGTATGTCCAATAAGTGTGGAAGTCCTGGCATTGGAAGCCTTTGCCTTGATTTTCAGTAGAAATAATAAAATCACCCTTGTAAAGAGGTAGACATATTGACTTGTTCTTATGAACTCAGACGGAGTGACACAGGCCTCCTTTCCTTTTTATTGATACTAGGTGGATCATCTACATTCTGACGTTTGTCTGCCGTTTCTCTTCTAGTCACCAATTCAGCCTCTATACCCAAGTTTTAAGATGAAGGGAAGGATATATCAAACTACGAGTGAAGATTTATTTTGACTAAGTTTAGTTTTTCCTTATTTCGGTTCCATCCCCAACTATAGAGAAAGATTATCGTTTTTGGTGAGTAGAAAAGCTAGAGTTTATTCTTCAACTTATCAAAGAACCCTTAAAGTCATTAAGGGATGACAAATAAAGGATATATTGAGGAAGGCTTTTATAACTTTAGTGAGCAGGCTTTAAGGTTAATATCCATTGAAAGATGTGTAAGGTGAAAATAGAAATCAGCTGTAGAGGGTGAAAATTTTGCAAGCAAACTAACCAGTAAAAACAGCCTCCATCTTTGTAGGTGTGCCCTGGCCTTTGTCCTCTAGTTTTATGTATGCTTGTGCTTCAACTAATTCTTCTTCTGAATCATTTAGCCCCAATTTGATGGCTCAAGAAATTGAGTTTCAAATTAGACTGATTATGGTACAACACTAGTGACAGATCATTTGAGGTTGGGAGATTTTCAAAACAGTAGGTTTTTTGCAGAACAAGGGCAGTTAAAAACAAATGCTCATGAATTTTCCACCAAGCAGGAGATTGTATCATTGCATATATTTTCCCTCCATTAGCCGTCACAGAGCAGTTCTGTCATGAATATCTCGCAGCCATCGCTTAGAATGGCAGTTTCACACCCTATCCCATTGCAGGGCATTTCTGTTATAGATTTCCCGTCAACCATCGCTTAGGATGGGAATTGCACACCCTAACCTATTGCTTCGGAAGTAATGCGAAACAGTTTCCCTCTACCTGTAGTTTGTCAACTGACTCTCCCATAAAATAGTTTATAATGGCATTTCTCTCTAATGCTCTAACCATCACTTAGTTTGGGATTAAAACTAATCAATATGCTCCCCATAAAATGACTTATAGTTTAAGAATTTATGAACTTACTATTAGATAGCTTAGTGGGGGAGTCGATAACATGGCTTAGTGTGGAAGTTTTATAACAATAATCTCTCTCCCCCCCCCCTCCTCCTCTCTCTCTCTCTCTCTCTCTCTCTCTCTACTCTATGTAGTATTAGTTCGTTAGTTAGTTAGTCGTAGTAGTATAGTAGTAGTTAAGTTAGTTGTAGTGTAGTAGTAGTAAGTAAGTAAAGT